AAGAGGCTCCCACAGGGCAGGCCCTGTGTGAGAGCAGCTCACGGTTTGGTCAAGGAGACACAAAGTCAAGGTTACAAGTTGGGGGCTACTCTCCCCAGGTCCTGTGAGCTCCAGGTTCTGGAGGGCTGTGGGGGCTGGGAGAGGGGCACCTGAAGCAATGGCAGGTGGGGTTGGGGTTCAAGGGTGTCACTCCTAACAAACTGAGGCTGGATGGAAGGGTGGTGTGGAGGTTGACTTTACGCGTCACCTTGAGTGGGCCATGGGATACCGAGGTATCTGGTTAAGCATCACCGCGGTATGTCTCTGAGGGTGTTTCTCGATGAGATTAGCAACTGAATCAGTGGACTGTGTACACTGACTGCCACCCCCCAGCATCTCCACCCACGTGGGTGGGCACCACCCAAGCAGTGGAGGGCCTGACCTGAGCAAAAAGGCCAAGGAAGAGCAAATCTGCCGTCTCACTGCTTGACTGGGGCGTTCTCTTGAACTTGGACCAGGACTGAAAACATCGCTTCTCCTGGTTCCTGGGCCTTCAGACTCAGCAAACACGACACCATCCACTTTCCTGGGTCCCCACCTTGTAGAAGGCACAGCTTCCTCTGGGGGGCTTTCTGGCCTCCAAAAGCATGTGAACCAGTTCCTCGCAATAAATGAATCTCCTTCTCCAAGTATCCGCTTGGCTGCTTCTCTGGAGAACCCCGACTAACCCAGGTGGGCCTGGCTCCTAGGGAGAACCCAGGGGTTCTGCATGGCTGGGCATGAGGCCCAGGAGCGAGAGGGAAGGGTCAGGCCTGAAGGGAAAAGGAGGCTGTGCTGAGCAGCCTGGCTTCTGCCTTACAGGATCTGAAGCAGACGGGCCCCCTGTAAAGACACGCGGCGGCAGCTGACGTGCCCTGGATGCAGTGGCAGCGGGGATGGCCAGAGATGACAGGTCATCGGGCAGCATTAAAGAGTCAGGAATGACAAAACTGGTGACTGAATAGACAAGGGGGTAAAAGAGAAGGCATAAGGGATGACTTTCTCCACTTTGAGCTAGGACAGCGGGGTGAATGGTGACAGTAGTTCAGTAATGACCAGAATTTTACAGCAGTGCGGGTTAAGTGAGTAAGATGATTTTGATAATATCTGCAATGCCCTTACCCTTTGAATAATATAAATTAAATTATAATCATAATTGGAGATGTTTTATAAGAGTCCAATTCTCTGAAAATTGACCGGAAGAGACCAGTAGCCCTGCTTAAAAAGCTGAGGGCTTCTGCCCCGGCCAGTGTGGTTCAGGTGGTTGGGTGTCGTCCTGCAAAGTGGAAGATCGCAGGTTTGACACAGTTCAGTCCCTGGGTGGGGTGTGTACACGCAGCAACTGACGGATGTTTCTCTCTCACACTGGTATTTCTCTCTCTCTCTTCCTCCCATCCCCTCTCTCTAGAAATAAATACATAACATCTTTAAAACAACACCGAATGAAAAGCAGCACACTGACGGCGGCCTACACTCTGCACAGGGCAGTACGTCCTGCTCGCCACCGTCTCGGGAGGAGAACGCCAACCATACAGCCCTGCACCCTTCCCAGGCACACGAAGCGTTACTGTTTCTCTCATGTAACTTGCACTACTCCCTCTGCCTGGAAGCCTCACCTCCCCAGAGGGTGGGTTAAGGTCATACTCATTTTTTAAGATGGCGCGAGGTCAAGTGTTACCTCCTTAAAGGAGCCTCCCCAAGTCCCCCAGGCCGGTCATGTGCTCCCTTCTCAGAGTCCTTATATTTTGAAAGTCCGATACCACCTCTTCCCACACTGTACTGTGAGCTTACCTCTCTGTGAGCTTCGTGAGAACAAAGACGCCCTCCCCATCCCTGCCCTATTCCCAGGGCCTGCCTGGTGGGAAGCACAGGGCTGCGGAGCTCAGCTGAGTGCCCACGAGGTCGTCCCTGCAGACAGAACGTTCGGCCCGGGGCCTGAGATGACGGAGGGGGCAGCGGCCGCGCCATCCCGCCGGCCAGCCTCTCTCACCAGCGAGTGTCTCGCTCTGTGCTTGTATAACCTCATCCAAACGGCAGGTCACCCCACGGCACCGACCCGGGCTGCCCTCCCTCAGTCACAATCATAAATGTTAATTCTGTGCAGGCTGGGCCAAGGTCTACTTGTTTTCCAGAAGCTTCACAGGGCAGCAAGCGACACCAACGTGATACAGCAGCTTAAGGACAAAGGCTCCAATGTTGCCAGGCCCTGGAAACCGCTGCACGCAGCCTGCCCATGGGTGAAGCCCTTTGGCAGCATCTGCCTCGCAGGGTGGCCTCCGGCTCACAGCCAACACTTCTCTGAAGCGGGCCCACCATCGGGGGCCGGGGCTGGGGGAGAACGGAGCCTGGGAGGCAGGCCCAGGCCTGAGCCCTCACGGTGGCCGCAGGGTGGCCAGTGACTGCCTGGAGAAGCCGCGAGGGGAGTCGCCAGCGGCAGGAGCCTCAGAGGCGGCCCACCGCTGAGGCACGCACTGGCCCGGCTCCAGGCTTCCGGGATACCCCCTCCTGTGCTCTTACGTAAGCTCAGGTTGGAGTCTATAAAACGCCCCTAAACGAACACCAATACCCCTTTACAGCCCTCTGGGGTCTGCTCACTCAGGCTGGGGGCCTTCCGCACATGTCTTCGCGCCCAACTCATGCCGGTGCCATTTCTCATACAAGGCGCCTATTTGATTTTAGGACCTTCCAGCCTAACGTGACTATTGGCTCCTCGGGGGAGCAAGGTCAAACACTCCTGTGTACTGTCTACACACCTAACTTCAGCCCCTTGCCCAAGTCATTTATGACTCACTGAAGGACACAGGAAGAATGATGACAAGATGGTGGCAATTTGTGGGTCCTTATCAGTGTTATGGAGGAAGCTTCCTTATCTTGAGACAATCCAAGAACTCTGATTGCTAGAGAATCTGCTGTCTTAGGACGTTAATTACTGGGCACCCCGGTTGGGTCCTTGCCATGGAATCATGTTGGCACAGGTGGTGATGGAATCTATTCTTTATATTCTTGACTGATGGTCTTTCTAAATACTCAAATCTCTATTTTACCTAGAATACACCACAGTGGGCCCTTTTTTCATTCTAAAAGTACAGAAAGAAGTCTGGTAGAGATTCAATTTGGAGATTCTAAAGGATTACACCTATTTTTCTGTTAGCCTTCTTTAGTGTACCGTCAAAAACAACAGCTCAGGTAAAAATCAGTAGCCTCTAAGGACCTGAAAGTGCAACATCCTTCCTTCCTATTATTTGCATGATGAGGGATCAGGTTAAAACAGTGAGAAATGGCTACAATTTTGCAAATGCTGCCAATGAACGCTAAACTGAGCCATGTGGAATTCATTCCATTATTTAAGCTATTATTAGAAGGTAATCCTAGCCTCAGTTCAAAGCTACAGTCACTCTAATCACACCAAATTACTGAATATTATTACCCTACTGCTGCAAATGTACCATATCCCTGAGATAAAGCTGAAAGCTCACAGGAGGGATTGGCGAGGGACTGAGGTTTGCGGGCTTGGACTGCACTCGCTGTGGAGCCTTTGGGGAGCTGCACGCTTGTCTGCAGAAAATGGGTGACCGTCTACCTACAGGGCTGTGAAAGTGGAAATTGCCAGCTCTAAGCTGCGTTGGGATTTGCTGTTTGTAGGAAACAGAAGGCACTGGAATCTTATGACAGTACCCTTAGGAGAGGCCTGTGAGACAGTTTTGTAGTGAAACCTCTGAGACGAAGAAAAGGGTGGATAAGGATTGGCACGGGGAGGCGAGAGAAGAAAAGAGCTCTGATGAGAGCAGGCGTGAGAGGTGACAGCATGAGGGGACTGCTGGGCGGGGCGGGGTGGGGCTCACAGGCTGCGTGGGCCAGGACTGAAGCCCAAGGACACAGCACTCCCTTGGCTAAACCTTCAGGTCCAGTGCGAGTGGTTTACAATGGAGCCGCATCGTGTGTGTGTTTATCACAAACTCAACCATAGCAAGTGGCAAAAAAAAAAAAAAAAAAAAAAAAAAAAAAGGGAAAAGGAACCATCCAGCAAGCGCTCCACCACCGAGTCTGCCCAGGGTGCCCAGGGTGCCCATGAGAGGCAGAGACAGGAGGTCTCGGGCATGTGTGCCTCCTGCAGTGCGAATGTCTCTCCCTGCGGAGAGTGATTCAGTGTTTAGAGAAACATGGTTGGAGCCCTGGCCGGGTAGCTCAGTAGGTTGGAGTGTCATCCTGATACGCCAGGATTGTGGGTTCCATCCCCGGTCAAGGCACGTACAAGCAGCAGCCAATGAATGCATCAATAAGGAGAACAAAAAAATCGACGTCTCTCTCTCAAAATAAAAATAATAATAATAAAAAGAGAAAAATATGCCTTGCACAAGCCAGTCCCTGCGTGAAAACCGGCCACGTTGTCTGGAGTTCAGCTGCAGACACAAGCTGGTTGTGCTGGGCTCCTCGAGAGAGAGAAGCGGCTTCCCGTCAAGATCTTTCCAGGCAGCTCACCCAGGGTCTGACGGCACAGCCTCTGCGGCCGCTGAACTGCACCCCCCGCGCACGTCGGGAGCATCCCTGCCTCCCCGCTGTGCTCACCCCACTCCTCGCACATGACGGGGTGCTCATCCTGCCCACTTGCCCTGAATCCTCAGCAGCCTTCAACTAGCCCTCCTTCCTCCTAAGGCATCACCCCAACCTAAAGCGTCTCACATTTGGCTGGGTCGTTCCTTTGGTGACTGGTCACTTATGGCCTTGTACTCAATCTCATGCATGTTTCCTGATATTGACTTAAATACTGTTACCACCACCCACAGCAGTGCCTTCCACCTGTATTGGGTGTGCTTCTGGAAAGCAGCGACCCCGCTGCTCTTGGCTGAGAGCCGGGGCTCTGGGCAAGAACCTCGCTCTGCCTCCACCCAGCCCCGGAGAGGCTCTCCTGACTACCGAAGGCAACGTAAGAACCCAGCTCACTTCACATGTGACCAGGCAGGCAGTTTTGAGAGTGAACTTACAAATGCTGATGGGAGGAAAAGGACCCCGAGCTCGTAGGAACGGATCATCAGCTGGGCGCCGTTTTTCTCTAATGCTCCCCAGGCGGCTTTGGACAGATTCGCGCTGCAGGGACAAGGACACAAGAGGAGCTAACTCAGCGAGGCATTCCAGTGCAGGTGACACTTTCACAGCTGCAAGAGCATCGGTCAAAAAAACGGATCCCCGCAATCGGGTTGGTTCAGTTTCTGGCAGAGATATGCATTTGGGGAAATGGAATCAAGTCCTGCTGTGTCCTCAAGATGTACCTAATTGCTAATTTGGGACAGCTCTACCTTCATCTGCGTTTTCCTGAGGGCAGCTATTAAAACAATTATCCCTCCTTAGAAAAAAATTTTTCCTGCCCAAACCCTTTTAATTGTCAAGACCCTGATACAGCCAGAATGTTTGGTTTTGCTGTATATAAAAGTGGCATTTAAGGAAAAACTACGACAATACCATCTTATATAGTTTCTTTGCATTCCTTTTTTGTTTTTGGCCAGGTTGTGTTAATGTCTACTTTCAATCTAAAGAATAGCTCTGAGGCCCTAGACTGTATCTAGAAAGAAATAATGCCCTTAAGAATCATGTTTTATAGGGAAACAGAGTTACAGATGTGGCTAAAAATCACAACGCAGCGAGAGCCAGGCGACTCGGAGCTGGCCCACGGGGAGGCACCAACGCTATGAGGACGCTCAGGATTGAAGACGACTGGCCGCGCTGACCATCATCTTCAGCGACTCCCCCAGAACTCACCCACCAAAGAATGAATGTAAACCCACTGTCAACATTCCCCCCCCGCCCCCCCCCCCCCCCCCCCCAGTTAAGCTCACCCAACTTCCATTTCTTTTTTGGAATGTGGAGCAAAGCCTCCACTATTCAGACCCTTAGAGACTGATGTGTGGACAGCTGAGTATTTCAAGATTCATTCACTTGGGCATCGAGTTTTCTTCTGAACTAAGGGCAGGGGCTGCTGGGAGGCGGGCAGTCAGGCTAAGGGGAAAGAATGGTGATCTCCCCAGGGTTCTACGGGAACAGACACGGAGGATGACAGAACTTGGAGCTAAGGACACCCCGAAAGCTATTCAGCTAACTGCAATAACATAAAGCGTGTTTGGGTGTTTACAGACCTCCCTGCCTCCTCTCAAGGACCGTGCTGAGAACAGGGAACCTCTAGCGCCCAAGGCCACAACTGTGAACACCAAGGTCTGTGATGTGTCACAAAGACAGAACATGCCGACAAAGGGGAGGCTGACAATCAGGTGGTGTGATGACCTGAGGGATGTTTTCTTTCAAGTCCAAGATGACAGACTGCTTTTAGGTCTCTCGCCTGTTAGTAAAATAAGGTGACCTCTTGGGGTGAAGACACTGGTCTAAGTGCAAATCCAACCCATGAATGCGAGGTGGAAGGGGTCTCCCTACAAACGCTCTCCCCCATTTCCCAGATTATGGCTTTCCTGACAACTCCCTCGACTTGTCAGTGTCTTACCTCCACAGGCCAGTGGTACTTTCCAGAAGGTCTGCTCTCTCTCACTCCCTCCTCCCTAGTTGTGCTTTCCTCAACATCCCAAGACCCGAGTGAGGGTAAAGATCAATGGAGCCCACGAGGCCTCTTCGGTGGTTCCCCCCACCCCTCCTTTGTATTTAGCTTCAAACAGAATTCTAAGCACCTTAAACTCTACCCTGAATATGAGACCAGAGGTCACCTGTAGGCTGTCTAGGTGATAAATCAATACACCTTGAAATAGCATCTTCATACTTTCTACACTCTGACTACACTTTGGATCCCCAGGTCCCCGGGCAGTCAGGACATGGAGTATATACTCGTATTTCCAAACCCTGACCCAGTCTGGTGGCCATGTGTGGTCCTGATGCGCAGTGACCCCTCAGAGCTGCTTACAAGCAGCTCCTTTGCTCCTAAAGCTCCAAAGGAGGTATAGTGTCTCGTCTCCATCCAGGAACTACGTCCACTACCTGTGGCTTCCGGCCGCGGCCGGTCCCAGCATCTTGGTCCCTCCGCCCAGCTTCCTCCAGTTCTTCCCCATCTCCTGCGGGACTGGGCTGCTCTCCCCCCGCAGTGCTGTGGTTTGGTTTGTTGATGTTGATGAGGTCTGGATGCTGAATGACGCCTCACCACCAAAGAGGGTGGGGCTTTTAATTTCCTTTGCCTGCTTTGGGGTGTGGGACGATTCTGTATGTTGCAGAATTTCGGAGGGTAGGCTCTGGAGGTCCAAAGTTGTGCTGTCCACCAGGAGCTCTGCCCAAGCCACTAATAAAGTAATGGTGGGTAAAACAGAGGCTTCTGGGGGATGGGGCATGGCAGTCAAGGTGCAAGTAGAGAAACAGAACCACGTCGGGGTGTGTGTGCACGCATGCCCACACGTGCGCACGTGTACGTAAAGACCCCTATTGACGGGAATCTGACACGGAACTGTGGGGGCTGGGAAAGCAGCCTCTGTTGCACTGCTCTCTTTGCCCTGATGTTGGAGCCTGAAGTCTGCAGGGCAGGCAGCAGCCAGGGGAGGATGGGAGTCAAGTGGAGGGAGCAACAAGCAACGCGCTGAAGCTGCAAGCGTGGACTGAACCCAGCCAGCCGGTGCTGCCCTGTGGAAGCCGCGCCCTTGGCCGCAGAGCCCCACACACCCTGGGTGTGAGCCAGCACAAAGCGACAATGCTATAGAAGTGTCTGCTGCTCCAAGCCCGTCCCCCAAACCCCCCGAGAATCTCCTTCAGGGCCCATCCTCACCGAAACGTACGAGAAAGGGGATTCTGGAAAGTGTGGTTCAGTCTCGGCAAATGGACACACTGCAAAGCCACCACAGGGTGGGGCTAAACTGACCAGCGGTTCATTATTCCATCGGCCAGTTTACAGGCCCCTTCACAGTAAGAAGCTGCACTGGCGGTAGATTTCTGCCGCAGCTGGTGCAGTGTGGCTGCTAGTGAGACACCTGACCTCAGCCCACAATGTGGACATTTTGTCCAAAAGTTTAAACCTTGTGGAGTGAATTTAAACTGATAACAATGTACAACAAAAAGCTCCAGAAAGCATAGATTCTACCTAAGGTACGTGGGGAAGGGAGGCCAACGCTGAGAAAAGATGTCTGGGCCCCAAATCAGGAGGCAGGATTTCGCCCCATGTCCCCCACTAACGGCGACACCCTGAGGCGCTCTTCTCCCAGGCTTCAGTTTGGCTCCAGAACGAGGGGTTTTAGCCATGAGGTCAAAAACCCCTTTCCAGGCCGTGCTGTACGATGACGGGAGACGTCCCCACTCACACCCAGCTGCATGGCTCCCCTCCCCTGTCCCGGCCACAGGGGCATTCTCTGGAAACGCGCTGCTGGGGAGTGTTTAGCTGTCTGAATGTCCACGCTAATGTGTCGAGGACACAGCCACGCAGGAAAGGAGAGGGGAGCCACAGAGGTGACCTCTGGGCCAAACTCTGCTATGTGCACCGGTAAAAGCCTCAACTCTGGTAACAGCAGTAGCATCGTCAGCCACCCCCAACCCTGGCCTGAGCAGCTGGTTGGCTGGGTGGCTGATGAAGTGTGCTTTTCAGATTTTACTGGAAGGCATACAGATCCCAAGATGCCTGCTGTTACGGGAACGCGTGTCCAGTGACAACACATCTCCTTTCACTGTCAATACTTAACCTAGGCGGCAGCTGCACAACGTGTGCAGAGGCGAAAACAGACTTGGCTTTTAGCCACATGTCCTTGAGGACCCACTGGGGGGAGGCGGCAGGCAGACAGACACGAGGCTGACAGCGGTGAGGGAAGACGGGGCTGAGCGGTGGGGGGGACGAGGCGGGCGTGGGGCTCGGCCAAGGCTGCTGTCGCCCTGCCTGAAGGCTCCCCAGCCGGGGCCTTTCACATGCACGCCGGCACCCTAAGTTACCTTCCACTCTGCACCGGCGTGAGCTTTTCCTGCCCTGCCCTTGGGCTCTGCTGCTTTTTGTGGAATGAAAAAAGTTTCACAAGTAACACTGACAGATATTCTCACTGTAAAAGATTCGTTGTAGACACAAAGCTATAACCTTTCATTTGGATGGATTTTGCCAATGTCCCGCTAAAACAGTTTTCCTATTTACACAATCAATGACGACATCTAAGCCTCTTCTCTTGAGTCCCTGAGAACACCAGGTGGATAGTATCTATGAAAATGTTTGCTGAGCTAATAGGCAAAATAGAGCCCATTTAAATTTGATTTCTCTGATCACTCAGTATTTTTAACTATGTTTACCAGACATCTGTTTCTCAACTCTGATCCTTTTAAAAAGTATGCTGTCTTTTTTATTGATATGCAGTGTGCCCTGGTTTCCTACTGGTGCTCTAACAAAGTGCCATAAACGTAGTGGCTGAAACAGCCCAAGTTTATTACCTTACTTTTTGAAATGGATCCTCCAGGACAAGCTTCCGTTTCCCTCTCTTCAGGTCTCTGCAGTCTGACTCACTCAAATAATATTCTCAACTGCCAAACCCAGCGGTCTTTTTTGTATTTCTTATTCTTCTAGACCAGTGGTTCTCGCTGGGGGTGGTTTTGCCCTTAGGGGACCTTTAGCAATGTCTGGGGACATATTTTGTTGTCACAAGTGGAGGGTGGATTGCTCCTGGCATCTAGTGGGTAGAGACCAGGATGCTGCTAAACATGCAACAAAGCTCGGGATGGTCCCCAGAACAAAGAATGACCGGCCCCAAATGCCGGCAGTGCCGAGGCTGGTCAGTCCTGCTCTAGGCCTCTCTGCCGCACGGGCCTGGCTTTCTCCGCCCTCTTTGCACCTCCCTCCCTTGGCTTTCTCTTCACTTGTTCATTCCGCTCCTTTCTCTTTTGCTGCCCTTTCCCCTCTGAGCCTTCTAAACCTCTGCTCTGTCATTGGCTCAATTCTATTGTCTCCTCTTCCTTGGGGATTTCCCGTTTACCAAGTGTGACCATTACCTTGATGAGGATGACTCTCAGATGCTCCTGCTTTGACCAAATGGGGACATCTAATCGCAAGCTGGATTTCACTATTGGGATGTCACATGGCCACCTCAAACCCAATACTCCAAAAGCGAACCCCTCAGCACGCCTGGCCTTCTGGAAACCAGCTC